CCCCAGTGTGACTAATCATGGGGTAGTGGGACCTACAGCAAAGATTTGCTTTTACTTTCAAAACTGTCAAGATTTAAAGTAAACATGTGGGAGCCAATATCTGGCAACAAAGAACAAAAATTAGCACTTAATTAATAAGAACCCTGTTGCCAGAACCCTCTGTCAGTTTAACTCATTTGTTTAAATTGAGCCCTCAATTCATGACTGCTTGTCCATTGTGGACCTATGTTTACACAGGTCCAATCGAAATTCACTAAATTGCTGTTTCTTGGGAATAACTGAATATTTTTGTAAACTCAAGTACTTATAGTATGAGTATATAAACTAGGCAAAGATCCTATATAAGATAATATGAAATTTCTATTGTTTATACAAGGGCTGAAAAGAGCACCCTAATGAATAAATGTCCTCTGAGTTACCCTTTGGACGGTGCATTCAGATACTAACTCATAGTTCTCTTAGGTTTCTCTATGACACATGACCCATAAGTGAACTGCAAACCCAACCAATCAGCCATAACAGCCCAAATTCATATCCGGATGCTGGGGCCAGGAGATTAAAAATGTAATTAAGCTTAAGCTCATTAGGTTTTAGAGNTGACACATGACCCATAAGTGAACTGCAAACCCAACCAATCAGCCATAACAGCCCAAATTCATATCCGGATGCTGGGGCCAGGAGATTAAAAATGTAATTAAGCTTAAGCTCATTATGCTATTTTGTCATAGGACAATGTTTTCTTCTGGGGCTTTTACAGCTTTAATAAAGATATAAGGCTTTTTAAATGATTGGAAATAACATGTAAAACATTATGCTTTTACAGACACTTAGAAACATGGGAACCTCAGTTACACTAAAATTTCAAAAAGTGACTCCCAGAAAGTTAAAATAACCAAAAGAACCACCTTTATAACACCACTTCACTGTCCAAGAGTGTCACTCCTCATAGGGTAATTGTTAGAATGCCAGAAATTTTAAAGATTTACTACAATGCCTACCACCATTTTTATAGGTGAAGAAATAAAGATCTGGTCGAGAAATTGGCACTTTAAAAATAAAAGCAAGAGTCCAGAAGATGAATACTCAGGACTGGCAGGTGCTGGACAGGGGCAGAGCTTCTGGGAAGTTGGGTGAGGAGGCCTGGTTGGCCCAGTGGGGGGCTCAGTGATGGAGCTTAGAGCTTTGAAGAAAACCATGTTCCAAAATGAGAAAAAGGCATTGGGGAGAAGTTGTGTCTATAAAAGGAACAAACAAACTTAAAGACATTCTAGGACAGAGTTGGGTTACCTTCTGAGTCTGGGGTCACCTGGAATGAGGGGTGGGTCTGTCCCAGGAAACAAGGCCCTCAGTCACCACCTTGGTCCCTGGAAGGGCTAGGAAAGCAAACTCATTTCAAAGGACACGGACATAGGCATGAGACAGAAGGTGCACATGAATTCAGTGCTACTCAGAACAGGAGGGAATTGCCTCTTTATTTGCTCATCTGTCTCCCCAAAAGTTTGAGATCCGTACAGAACAAAGGCCCAGAAACTGGCTCCTCAGCATGTGTGTCAAAGGTCCCTGAAGACCAAGAGTTCCTGTTTTTAAGAAAAAAGGGGCAGCGGATGTGCTGGTTCTCCTTTGCTTGCCCCACCCCAGAGATGCAGTGGTGGCCTGTGCCTGTGCCCCGGCCATCTGACTTCTATGACCTGCACTCCCTGGGCCACCTGTCACCTGGCTCCCAGCTGTGCTCATCCCTTGAGAAGCCCTGGCAAGGGATGGAGGGCGGGAAGAGAAAAGTCAAGAGTATTTCTTCCTATTCTCTCCCGAAGCTCCTGCCCAGGAGCCCTCCCCTGTGGCCCCAGCCTCCTGGCTCTGCTGCAGCATTTGCTCCTGGTCCCTGCAGGCCTGGGGTGGGAAGCACCTTCTTGGGCCTCACCACTCCTGACTGGTTCCCTTTCATTTCTTCACTCAGTTGACTCTGACTCTAAACTGGAGTCTGTCTTTTGCCAGGACCCTGAAGCGACGCTAGGGAATGGAGGCCGTGGGATAAGCACAGCGTCTTATACAAAACTGTATGTTGAAACAGATACCCTACAGGGCAGACTGGAAATCCACATAGTCTTTAAATATAAACAGACCTTCAAAAACATCCGCCTTCAAACCCCAAATACTGCCGCCTTGGCAGCTCACCCTCCCTTTGGCCTCCAAGCTCTTCAGTGGCGAGGCTGGGAAGAGGCGCTCTACTCGGGGGAACGGAGCCTCCTTCAGACTCTACCTGCTTTGGAAGTGGAGGTACAGTCACGAGCCACATAATGACGTTTCGGTCAACGTCGGACCACAGATGTGAGGTGGTCTATAAGATCACACTGTACAGCCTCGTGCGTAGTAGGCCATCCCCTCTAGGTGTGTAAGTGTGCTCCGTGATGTTCACACAACAATGAAATCACCCAACAACACATTTCTCAGAATGTATCCCTGTTGCTAAGCCATGCATGGCTGTAAAATCAAGGTGAATGCCTTGACTGCCTGAGGGAGTTGGTCTTCCAGGCTTCAGAGGCAGCAGCCACAACCTGAGGGGAGACAGGGGAGGGGAAGGGAGTGGGGGCAGACTTCAAGGAGGACCAGAGCACGTAGGTTGCTGAGAAGAGGCATAGGACCTAGAGGGAGAGGCAGGAATGAGAGCATCCTAAGATCATGGCCTGCCGGGAAGTCACTCCTCTAAGGACCCCGTGGTTCGAGTACACGACTTTCATTGCTTTCAGAATGAAAAGTCAGTCCTCAGCAAAAGTCCTGCTATAAAGTTAACATCTTTTGTTACTAAGTGGGCACAGAAGTGTGTAATACGTATGAGAATACTTTTCACAAAGTCTGTAATTTAAAAATTCCCCACACCTAAAGTGAGGACACATCAGTTATTTAAAACAAAAGTGAAACACAAGCTGATCTTGTGCCTCATAATGCTAGATAGCTAAGGGTTAACCACAATCTCCTGGCCTTTCAGCTGAACCTGGAAGAGAGGAGAAGGCAGCCTCTAAGGGCATGTACATAAAAGGAAAAACTCGGGGCTTCTGGGAGGGGACAAGGCAAAGTCACTGAGCAGAAGTGGAACCAGCTGAGGAGTCTTCCCGTGACCCTCCAAACACCCACTTCATTCAAATTCCTTTCCTCCCTCCTTGTAATGCTCATATATAAGATGCCTTTGCTAAGCTTTCATTAAAAATCAGGTTCCAAAGTAAAAAAAAAAGTGTGGATACTACTGGGTTAGATTAATTGTAGGTATATACTATATATGAACTGCTACCATGGACAAGTAGAAGACATTGGAGACGGCCTTTACCTTTAATACCAGCCTGATGACTCTTCTTAAATGCATTTTTATTCAGATGGAGAAGACATATCCTTATCAATACCCAATTCCAAGTGGAATTATTTTATTTCCCATCTTTTTTTTTTAAAAAAGATAAAAATGAACAAAAGGCAATAGAAATCAGTAGGAACCAGGAGGCTAGTTTGCTTACCTGCTGTCCCCAGCATTTGCTACATACAGCTTCCCCAAGAGGCAAATGACAATGAGGGCTGTGCAGCCACCAGATATGTTATATGAACTCCTCTCTCGTTCTATCTGTAAGTCCTAGAGAAGAAAACAAAGTTAGTGCTGGATTGTAGAGAAACTCGTATCAAAGACTTTCTTAGCATCGCTCCCTAAGGGTCTCAATGTGCTTCAAAGGGACAAGAGAATCCTCAGTACTTGGTACTTGATTTTCTGCCACCTAATGAGCATTTCTGGAGAGGACACTGGCATAAAACTGTGGCCTGCCAGACCATCTGTGGACCAGAGACAGGAAGCAAGGGATGGCAAACAGACATAATCAGGCAAAAATGAGAAGATGCATATTAAATATGCATTTAATAAATAGCATAGCTTATGGAAAATTCAGTCTTTATATGGACTCCCTGAGCTGCCACGTGGAAAATACAACAGAGGGGCTGAGGATGCCAAGTACTTGGACCTAGCCAATGTTTTTAACCCCAAAGTCTCTGATCAACAGTTTCTTTTACAGCTAGATAAGAGAGGTGACTTGAAGGACTGTGACCTCTATTCACTGCAGACAGGAGTCAACCTCCTGCCTTACTGTCACAGATATAAGCTCCTGCATCTGGTCTGACTCCCTCCTCCCACAGTGACGCACGTGCACAGTAACAGTCAACTTTGCTCGAGCGCATCCTCTATGTCAGGGAGTGCACGAAGCACTTTACACACAGAATCTCATCTTGTCCTCACAACCAGATTACTAACCTCACTGTTCAGATGCAGAGAAGCGGGGTGACCTGCCCATATTTACCTGGCTGGAATCTGGATTCCAATTCATCTTCTTTTCCTCCAAAGCCTACATTATTAGTTGCCACCTAACGAGACCTCCCCAAGAAAATTAAAAAATAGACCAATACTTCTATTGACAGATATGCATCATCCTCAAGACAGATGTCTTTGTGAAATTCTAGGCCACTGACAGAAGAAAGGGTTCCGTCATCTCAGAAAATGTGAGTTGAATTAGGAAAATAAACCAAATGCTGGCTAAAATGTCCAACATTCCAGTAGCAATCTACAGGGGGTGGGGGGAGCAGAGGGAGGGAGAATGCGGGCTGGGGATAGGTACAGAAGAGGAAGAAACGGTGCCCTGGCTGATTCTGAGGGTGCCACTCGCAGACCGAGGGCCAGGGCACTTTTGTTATACTTAGAAATGCACAAAATTAGAGCTCAGTGGCCTCAGCCAGCTCCTCATGCAAAGGGAGAGAGCATTCAGTAACCCAGCATTTATCAACAATTGCTTTACTCCAGGGGCCAGAAGTTGTGATACGAAGCTAGATTAACCACCAAGGAGAAACTGGAAACAGAAGCGCCTGAGCTGCTGCTACAGGCTGTGAACAGTGTATTGGTTAAAAAGTTGAAGAGGAAAAAAAGCACAAAGACAGGAGCTGGGAGAAACGAACACACTGGGAATGAAGTGGGGAAGGGGGAAGGCAGTGGGAGTGGTGTATGTGGGACACGGCAGTTTAGAAGCAAGAGAAGGAAAGCCCAGCACGGGAGTAAGTGAACAGCAGCCCAAGGCTCGGCCACCAGGCGCGCGCGGCTCACTCTTCTCTGCTTGGTCCTCTCACAAGACTTTCAGGATCAAGAGGATCCTGGCCGTGGAACCAAATCGGAATCGGCCCATTCCCCAATGGATCTGGGTGAAAACTGGTAATAAAGTCAGGCACAAGTCCAGGAGGAGATGCTGGGGGAGAAGCAGGCTGGGTCTGCGGGGAATCGCACAGGAGGGAAGCTCACACCTCTGTGCAGCACCCAGGATGCCTGCGTCTTACCAAGTCACTGAAGAGACCACCACTGTCTGAGCAACTGGGCGTTTTTACTGGAAAATTATTGGAAGAATGATTTTTCTTTTTGTTGATTTTTTTTCTGCACTAGTAGGTTGGTTCAGTAATAAACATGTGAGACCTTTAAAAAAAAAAAAAAAGCTGCACAAGGGTCAAGCATGAGGACTATCTTCAAGGATGATACTGGATTTTAAAAATTTACTTAAACTGTATAAATTAGTTTTCTTAAAGGACTGTCCTGAGGATTAAATTAGATGGCGTGTGTGAGGGGCTTAGCAGGCCATCTAGGCCCTCTCCACAGCCTGAAAGCTCCATGGCTGAGAGCAGAGACCTCTCTTAGTCCCTGTTAGACCCTCAAAACCTACACCGGGCCAGGTACAAGGCAGTTTAAGGAAGGTCTATTAAGTGGACAAATAAAGTCATCCATTGAAAACTGCCTGGGCTTCAAAAGGATTCCCCCCACCACCTTAGCTCTGCCGTAATAAGAGAAATGTGTTCACGATTCACAAACGAACAGCTTACAATGCAAATAAAGGCTCACTGAGGGAAGTCAGCAGGAACCCACACTTCAGTTAAAATGAAGTCACATGACCAGAAAGAACGAATGGTTCTCGGAACCCACAC